ACTACATCAACGTTATGGTACCGTTTCGGGAATGCATAAAATTATGAAATCAATCAGCAGAATCGGTTCACAGCTCTTTAGCTGTAGGCTGGGAATTTACAGATATAGCTCACTTTGTTGACGTTTGCAGAAGCTTCTACATCTATACCTTAATCGTTCTCATGAGCATTCCCATTGCCGCCTTTATCATTGCTGCATATCTCTGCGCTACCAAAACAACTGCGAAACGAACAGCTTCGACGGGTTCAACAGTCACATTCTTGAGAAAACCTTTCTTGAGAAGTTGAAAAAAAGCGAGCACTCCGGTCGCCGGAGTGCTCGCTTTTTTTCAACATCTCTAGGAAGGTCTTAAAATTTGCTTTCCCCTGCCTTTCCGTATTTTCTTCTCACTACTCGACAGAAAATATGCCCGGCAATGATTCAACATTGAATTTACGCTCTATTCTTCCTTTTTTCCTCGCTTCTTCGCGTAATTTTGTTCCTTCGAAAGTAGTAGTATAATTTGATCATAGATTATTCTTAAGTCAGTACTATCAAATTCCTGTACTTCGACTATTGCAAAGGGAGATTTTTCAAATTATTTTTATCAGACAATGATCCTTACAGAAATAAGCCAGACAACCGCGATCAGCCAAGTAGGAGGAAATCCCGGTGGAACCAGGGCAAGAAGAACCTCAAGAAGTCAACGTCAACGTAACCCCTTCGCCACCTCAAGGAGAGCCTCCTCTTCAGCCACCCATTGAAGAGGTGCAACCTTCGAAGAACCGCGCACACGGCTCAAGCCGAGGAATTGTCAGTGGTTCACAGGAAGGTTAAAAGTCTTGGGATAACGGACGAACTACGGTCCATGAAGAATCGAGCGAACAGCACCTTTGTGAGCACCCTATTTTTCAATTTTCAATTAATTCAATTTGTTTAACATTACATTTAATTCAAGTTTATATTTAAACTCAATTTCTTCCATATCTTTAATATCCCTTTCCGTCGCTTTAGAAATCAACACAGAGCAGTACCGTATCAACTTCAATGTCAACTCAATGTCAACTTTTTGAAGCAGAACTCTACTCAATGCGGTCGACCAGCGAACCTTCGCAATAAAGACAGCACTCGATCGTCAGCTCAATGGCTTGGAACAAGTCTACGATCGACAGAAGAACCTTATGCAGGAGCTCCAAGACCACATGGAGCTGCTCAAAGAAATCAGGGAATTGGCAACACCACCACCACGTCCGCGCTCGCCTCAACCGGGCCCGAGCCACGAAGTGGAGAGTCCACCATGCCAGCAGCGGCGCTGCGCATTGTGTTATGATACCATCACACCAGTGACCGCACGCGCTTCTCTACCCTTTCCGACCACAGACATAGAATCTTCGAGCGGAACCGGTGCTAGCGCTGCCTACTTGGGCCAACCACTTAGCAACGTCCTGTCCGAAATCAAGCTTTTGTTTCCATTGCAGAAATGCTAACAGAAGTGATAATCATCATAGCGCCTACAAATTCCAATGGTAATCCTTAATCTTTAACTTTTTCAACATTTTTCAATCCTTCAAATTCCTTCCTTCAGCATATCAAGTTTTCAATTTTTTCAATATCTCTTTCAGATCTCATTTTTTCAATTGTATTCCTCTCAATTAAGTCTTCAAATCTCAATTCCCCTTTTTTTCAATAATATTCAACTTTCCATTCTATTTCAGTAGTGTTTTTTTCCTCAAGTCAATCAATTTTTTCAAATTTCCAATTCAAATTTATTTGTCATTAATCCTATTTCAATTGATTTTTGATGCCTTTATTTTGTATTCGTATAGGTCGATTATGGTATGGTGCCTCACTTGTCTTTGCTTACTAAAAACTCTTTACAAGAGGCAAATAAATAGTTGTAGCTACGGGTAGTCAATACAGTCAAAATCAAAATGAATCTGATAATCTACAGGAAATAATGAATTGCAAACATTGCCTTACTCTACGCCTAGTCGCCACGACACCACCACAACACCGCCAAGTAGAGGACCGAAATAGTGTAGTAATGCGAAGGCCACCACATAGCCACACAGGTTTATCGATATATAGATACGATTGAATTAGAATTGTGATTCATGACTATTTCAATAGTAACATCACTTTGTGTTTGTATTGTGAACAGGCATTTTATTTAGCAGATTTTACGTATTATTCTAGCCTAATACGATCTTGTAATATCATTTCAATCACATCTGCCAGTCTCGTGAAGGATTGGCGGAAGTCCCTCGCGAGTGGGACCCGTTTGGGAGATATCTCAAAGTGAAGTCCCTCAAGTCAATATCAAGGAAAGGATACCCTCAATCCTTCAAACTCCAGGTCGTAGAAAGATCGTGTATCGCTTATTGTATGTAGAGTCGGAAGTTCGCAGTAAATATAATTGTTCGGTGTGTGTCATGGCTCGGCTGAATAGGAAATTCTGGAAATCACCTTCCTTTAATATCTGAGGAGTGATGCCCTGAGAACAGTCGAGTCACACAGCAGATTCTCGCAAACGAAGCTAAAGCTGAAGCTTGGAGTCAGACTGGCTCCACCATCCTACTTTAGAACGAGTTCCCAGCGCCGTCATCGTCTCTTACATGGAACTGACTCGGATCCTCTCCCAACTCTCCACGATCAGAGGCTGCTTTCATAATCCGCCGGCCGGCCCGCGAGCGAGCGTACCAGCAGAGGTGGCGCTTGCCCCTTATTTACAACTGAATCTTGATCGATACCGTCGGCCGAGTACTCCCCCGCCGGCGGACTGTGATAGCAGCCAGAGAAAGCAAATTTCTCTGTTGTGAAGAGTTGTTAGCGTAAGAGATTGTAGGGGACTGAGATGTAGAGCGCGAAAGGAGCAGCAAGTGTCAGTTTGTGAGGTATTAGTCATAGTAAAGGTATTGATCGAAGGGGGAGGTGGTCGTTTGGCGCGATCCCTCCCGCCGCGCCGCTCATTCGACGCAGTTTGCGTTGAATGGGCAGCGCGATGGGATGGATCGCGCCAAACGACATACACCCGATCGAGGGAACCACTTTTCGCACTTGTCAAGATTGCATGGCATGTGCTCCCTGCGGAGAGGCTAGACTATTGTGTGACTCAGTCCATATGCTCAAGAGCTGCAACCGTCCGTCTGAAGGGTTCTTTTTCAACAAGACTCGCTATCAACACGATGATGAAACTCCTCCCTTTTCCTCTCTCGAACCAACGCCCCTCTCGAACCAACGCCCCACAACTTCCAACGACTCCACCACCAGCAGAACCCTGTCGTCTGCCGCCACAACACTGATCTCAATGCGAGAACATTGTGCGAAGCGAAGAAAATGGTAGTGTGGTGAACCCGCACATAATGACTTTAGTAGTATGATACATCACTCTCATTCGGGTATGGGTACATTCATCCAGAACTGGATGGACGGGGCAAATCGCGCGGCGAAATTCGTGGCGACTTAAACGACTTCAGCGTCTACCATTGGGACCCAAATTTGAAGTATAGTAGATTGGTAGGATCTACTAATCTACTCTACTTCAAGTTTGCGCCCAAATGAGAGGTACCAAAGTCGTCCTAAACGCCACGGATCTCGCCGCGCCATTTGCCGCGTCCATTCAGTTCTGGGTGAATGTTCCGTCCTTCCTCTCAATCCTGTCCCCTTTTTACCATGCCCAAAAGATAGACCGTTGTTGTATTCCGCAGTGAAATTAATTTTGTTTCTTTCATATTCACTAACAAACCTCTACCAGTGATTCTAACGGCCCAACCGCAGTAAGATTCAGTGCCCATGTTTCCTCGTTCACAGTTCTTCATTATAGGCTTGCAAGTCTGCGCTCTCTTGTCAGCAAAAGTGCACGTGTCTTCAGATGCGCTTCAAAGTTCTCCGTTGTCTCGCAAAGATCTTTACAGTTCATCACTCATTTCAACCCAGTATCATATACACCTATAAAAGTGCAATTAGAATACAACACAAGCAAAGAATAGTACACCGCGAATAGGCTGAGTATTTTAATATTACATGCAATCACTAAATGTACAGAACTAGTGCTGTTGTTGCCCATCGTCAAAACTGCGGCGTGCTCGCGACTACCTGTAGATGTGCAGGTGGATGTGTTTCGTTCCTCGCGTCCGTCAAAATTAGGTCACGCCGCAGCCGTCGCAAGCGGTGCGTCAGCCCGCGATTCTTGACGGACATCGCAATTGTCAGAGGGGCATACGAGAAGTGCTCAATCAGCTTAAGAAGAAGATAACACAGACTACTGCAAATCATTCGTCCGTTTCACAGACACTTACCAATTGGTGGTACTGTAATGTCATCTCGTGATTGCAAAAGACTGCGCCGCGCGCGAAGTGGGCGGAGTGGGTTGGTTTCGATGGGTGCGTTTAACTTCACTTCCCACAGGCAGTTAGACGGCCAAGGTAAACAATATCACTGCATTTTCATATTTTTCCAGTGTCTCACTACGATCGGAAGTATACTCCGGACTCTCCGCCATGTTTGAAAAAGGTCTCCATGCGCAATCGTTGTAATGAAGCGAGTTTTCTCCCATTTATGGGTGGTTGATTAGCTAATTCTGCAGGAGAGTGACTACCCAGCGTCAGAAAATTTCACTTTCAGAAGTGGGGAGCACAGTAATACTGTTTTGATGAGTGAGACAACAACAAACTTAGCCCCAATTTCCAGTTATAATAACAAGTTTAACAGTGAATAAGCCGAAAACCTTAAAGTGAGGTCAAACATTTCGCCTAAAAACGTATAAGGAGTGGGTCAAGATTAGTAAATAATGGAAAAACAGATAACAGAACTTAAAGAGACCCCTAACATATAGAAATTGCCATAAACAGTGAGGAAAACTGATTGATAAGAAAGGGTGTACTAGCTGACTCACCTGTTTCACATCATAACAAAGTAAAGAAATACGAAATGAGCTAGTTATGTATGCTTGGCACACTATTGTCTAACAAAATTCAAAATATTGCACAAATGCGATATGATCATTGGTGGCCTAGACCCTGTCAGTCAATATCTACGTGGTCAGAGTTTTCAAGGAGACCCTCCCTCTCGATGTCTTCCGATTCACGATTCTTCTGATTGAAGTAGTAGTAGTATTGAGATATAACTACAATGTCGAACAATACACAACCCAAGCTTCCTGCAAGCCATGGAAGATGCCTGAAATGCAAACTTAAGCATGAGAAGCACACACGCCTCAATAAGACGCAGTTTCAATAGTTTTCATCATTATGTTGCTTTTGCTTCTTGTGTTCGTATGCTTCATTTTGTTCATAGGAAAGCAGACACGATGGACTGTTTCCCAAAGTTTAAGTGTATACCAATTGAAACCGCTTCACTTGATATCTTAAACCATATTGAAGTTGCTGCTCGCACACAGGTTATAGCAAAAATTATGCGAAAGCGAAGAACGGGCTGCCTACTATTCACCGCCTTACTACATCCCTAATTCCTTTATTTTCAACCTAGGAAGTTAACTCGGAGCGGTTCTCCTTCCAACCTGTTTCTTCTGCTCACTCCAAACGAAATAACATGGTTTCCTCTCGAGCTTTACTCGGGCTATCGTAAGCAAGCAGCAACACGACCCTGATAGAGTTCAAAAAGGAAGACTGGGTTATTTTTTCTGGAATATTAGGACGAGCCTGCTCTAATTATTTTTTCTTAATGCCTTTACTTCTTTCTCAATGGTGCGCTACAAGTTGCATACAAATGTTAGCGCGTGGGAAAAAATCGAACCGAATGGTCCCCAGCGGCATTGTCATGCCATCCAGGATCGCTAGGTATTACGCCGCGTGCTACTTGCGAATTGACACTTTACCACGACGATCCAGCGAACACTATAATCTTCCGAGAATTCAGAACTATTAGGTCACCCGTATGGGCCACAAAAATTCGTGCTACAGCACTCTAAGAGAGCCAGAATGCTGTCAAAACCTACTCTGTAGAGGAACCTCGCCGGCATTGAAGAGATTATTCGTGAAAGTCCGCATAAAAACTCCTTGTGCTATCACAGGTGTTGCTTTTAGTTGAGAATTTCGCTATGAGAAATGTTGCCTTGAATGGAAAATTACCCCACTGATAACAGGTTTGCAGCAATGTGATCTGCAATGTATTTATCTGCTACACAGAACGATGCGTTTCTGTTCGGCACTCGTTGCGATTCCGATCAAAATAAGTTTTGATACAGAGTCCACGTTTTCCACTGCCAAGGCATTGAAAATGATGGCCATACACTGAACACCCCCGGCAGACGAAGAAGGGAACACCACAAGAACTAGTTTTCGAAAGAAGAAAACTTTCAAGAGTCCACTTCACGTGTCAGGAAAGTAGCGGTGGAGCGACACAGTGTTTTGCACAGTTGAAAGGAAACGGTCTAGATAAAGCGTAAAAAGGTCTCAAAATAGGTAGAGCGGGTGGGCAACCCACAAACGAGCGTTCAAACGGGGGAACGGTTTTTAAGAGGTTGCGCCAAATGTGTTTGCAAACAACTGGTTGCCCGAGAATCGTTCGAGTTTCATGTTTCACACCGCTCCGGCATGTGAGTGTTAGAGTAGAATAATATGAATAACAGAGAATAACAACGTAAGGTCGCATCGGCAAAAATCACGACTGTAGCACCACCGCTCAGGGGGATTAGACCTCCACCCTGGCCAGTGCTCTCCCAGGGGTGGATATCTGGCTAACTGTGGACCAGCACTCGCACGATTCCTCTAATCATTTTCTTCCCGCATTCTAGAACGTTCCTGAACAGAGTAATGAAATTTTGATATAAGTCTCGCCCACTTTAGTGTCAACCACGCCCACTTCGAGCATTTGGCCACACTTGTTCCATTAGCTCTAACCACTTTTTTCCAGCATTCTAGAACGTTCCCGAACAAAGCTACATTCATTTTTGAAAAGTAGCTTTCATCTCAACGCACGCCCCGCCCATCGTGGGCGGGGCTTCGCTAAGCCTACGCATGCCCAGCACACATAATGCCTTGCTCACTCTTTTATTTTTTTTTTGAGGTCTCGACGCCTTCGTTGAATCGAGTTACGGATCTCTGTGGAAAGTGCTGCCCACTACGAGAACGCTCCGCCCACCGACGGTGAGTTTTCTTTTCTTTAATTGTTGACCCACCCTCCCACTTTTGCACAAATTTTCCCGGCGTATGGACTTTCATGAGACCGAATGAAAAGAATTTGCCCATGGCCCCGCCCAATTCCGTCGCAACAGCGCCAGCGGAGCCCCTTTCCTTGGAGATGGAGCTCCGCTACGATCACATGTGCTCTGATGCGCTTATCCTATGTTCAACCCATTCTAAACTTCATTCGGCTTCTCCGGGTATTTCCTCAGGTTATATCGAATTTCCGTACAAACAAGCACACACACAGACAGACTGACAGACATACGCGAGCGCTTTATACATGGTCAGGATAATTGGAGGGATTTGGGCGTCCCGTGGACATGTGATACAGTAACCCCCTAGTGCACCACCGCCCACCCCGTGGACTCCATCCGGGGTACCTTTTTGTTGCGTCGTACTTGTGACGGGTGTTTTGAGGCGCTTCAGTGTGTCTTCGGGTTACTGTGTAACACATTCATGGGACGATGAAATCCGTCTTGCCATTTAATATCGCTGAACTTGAGTACGTTACGATCAATGAGCAAAAAAAACCGATTGCAATTGAAGTCAATGAGAATGTTGCTACGATGAGAAATTAACACCAAATAACTACGGGTATCAAGTAGACGCGATTTTTAACACAATTGCGACGGAATTCAGTCTCTATTATAATACGAAGCGAACAATTGTAAAACGTTAAACAGTAAATGTAAAGGTTGGGCACCGCGGCAATCATACGAACGTTGCTCGTCCGATGTTGTAACGCGATTGTCTATGGGGTGGGGAACCATTTTGCCTCGTGTACCTCACATCTAGGTGTTCGAAATCTGGTGAACAAAACAATGATCGCTTAAATGTGCATTTCTAAAGCCAGCAAATGTAGATTACATCGGAATACCAGTGGTGGCTTGTGCGGAATAGAGTACAAGGAGGTGAAGCGTAAGAATAATAGCATCAGAGTCCTCTTGCAACTGAGAAGAAAATCTGTCCTTGACGGGCGAAACAAAGCGTTGTAAGATTGGTAGCACCTACCACCTCGAACCTCACACACCATCCCATGTGCGGGCTTCAGACAGTGCCCACATAATCCCATCCTCGATATTTGAAATATACGTGCATCAGCACTTCTTAAACGTAGGAAGCGCCCGGTTGGTGCGATCCTTCATTTTCCTGCAGTGTGCGGAAGATACTGACTTGTTTTTCCGGAGGAGGCTATAAGCTGGTGAACCACTACAAGGAGCTTTGAATGGGTGCTTTCAGAGTTCAACGACCTAGATTGCTTCATCCGACCGACCGACAGCGATGCTGGCCACGTGTTGACAACCCTGGACACCGATCGATACCGCACGTCGGCGGTGACTAATTTATTAGAGCGTCCCTGAACGCAATTTGTCCTGCGTTGTCAACACGTAGCCAACAACGCCGTCGGCGGTCGGTTGAAACGATGCGCGTCGTTGAATTCTGAAAGCATCCGACGAACGACAATCTTCTGAGTTTTATTTCTAGTCGCTATCGAAGGTGTAAACGCGTCGGATGTGAGAAGAATCACATCGCTCTTGCGATATCATCTTTTCAGGAGCTTCGTGGGCAGGTGGTTCTTGTCGAGCAGCGGTTCGCACTTCATCTTTTACGTAAGGGCCCACTGTTTACAACTTTAGTATACGTCCGTTTCATCGTAACTCCGTGCGTTTAAGGTTTTCACCTCAGATTATTTACAAAATTGGTTCTGTACAGGAGTACAGGAAAAGGAATCGAACCCGAAGGTCTTGCTATGAATGAATGGTTCAGTGGTTCTGAATCGTTATCAAGGACGAAGCGAGCGATACTAAGGCGACTTGAAAGGTTAAGCACCATGGCGGTCTTACGACCGCTGCTCGTCCGATTTCAGAAGAGACTTTTTGCAAGAGCGGAGACCCCGACCCCATATCTGGGTGGTCGGAATTCTACAGAGTAGTTGTCGCTGGAATACGCGACAACCCTTTCACATAGCCAAGTGACTGCGACGAATTTCGTAAAAAAAAAAACACACAGACACAAACACATAGAATAACTCATGAAGTAGCATTTTCAACAAAAAAAAACATACTAGGCCGTTTCCCAAGTTGACCGTGCACCTTTTTCTATCAATACATACCGCTAACCACCTAAGGATTCGTGCAGTCAATACTCCATTCATATGATATGACTACATGGCCGCTTCCTGCCATTTTGATAATGTTTTGGCTTTGCATTCTTTCTTGACGGCTATTTCTCGTTTACTTTTGTCTCTTTGTCTGCTTCGGCTAAGTTAGGGGAATGCTGCACTGACGTCTTTGATAGTGGCATGCTGTAGCTGGTGTTTTGAGAAACTATATTTCTTTTCTATGTTTTGCTTCGCTGTGTTTAAACTTACGCATTTGCCGGATTGCTGTGGTGCGCCATGAGTGCAATAAATAAATAAATAAATATATATATATATATATATATATATACGAGAAAATTCTCTACTTTGTTTCAAGGGTCACCACAAGCGTGGTTGTGGGGGTCATTAAATAGCGGTATCCCATTCCAAGATTAATAGTGTCAGAGCGCTCCTCTCTCTCAGAGTATAAAAATGCTCGTCCCATAACTCAAATAGTTATGCCGTAAATGGAAAACGTCGCCTGTGAAGTTCTGCGCCCACTGCATTTTCATTTAACCGTAGAACCAGTGTAAGAGTCTGGTGGCTGCACTATATTCGTCCCATTTCCTCCACGTACGCTTGCATCGTTGAAATTCTTCACAACTCATTATTACTCATAAGAGGTGAGAAAGCAAATTTTGCTAATGTTTAGTACTTGCTTGTCTTACCTGACGAGAAACAACCAATCAGTCGTCGCCAGGAGCACAGACACTCCGTAAGTGAGATTGGCGGCCACAATAATATAGAACATCAGCAGGGAAAGACCCTCACAACTTTTTCTTCTGTAGTTCTTGATTATCTGGGGTATGCGACCTCCGAAGTAACAGAGTGCTGCTATCGACCCGATTATATAACCAGCCTGAAATGAAGCATTATTAGTATATAGTTCAAATGACAGGCGATACCATCAAGCAGCTAGGATAGGGTGCCTACAAGATAATCAGCTTCGCAGAAGCGTGTTTGATTGGAATGCATTTCCTAAGAAAATACCAACCAAAACGCCCATAAATATCAGAAATTTCGTGAGAACATATCAGAACTCCATTCTATTCTAAACAGCAAGGATCAGGTGATGGGTTCGATGAAAGGGTCAAAGCTAGGCTACTCTGCACAGTCACCTAAATGAACGGGAAGAAGTGCAAAGTGTAAAGGAATAGAGCGAAGCAGAAAAGAGTTGACATGCGCACGTTGTCTGAGGGATCCCCACAAAAGAGGATGCGCGATTTACTATGCATCATGCACATCGACCAGTTCAGATTGCGAATGCTGCCAGTGGCAGGCCTGCCGATACCCAACGAAAGATACAGGATGCGCCATAAACGTGGTAACAAAATAATTATTGTGCAGAAACCGCAACACATTCTGATACATGGTGAATTGATGCGAACTATACTATGCATCGCATCAACAAAATGAACGCACGATCATCTGATATAACCGTCCCCTCGACTAATTATAAGCAGGAACAGTGGTGTGTTTTGGAGCACAGGCTTCCCTCCCTGTATGAATTATAGCCAGCGACCCACTGGAGACTTGTAGGCTGATTGGAAGCAGAGATTAAACCGCGAACATTTGCACAGCATCAGTCTCGATCTTTTTTCCATTCGTGAGCAAGTGCGCCGTAGTTTTTGTATCGTATTTTTGGAATACCCTCTGACCCTAAACGCAAACCTTTTCGAAGCCTGGATACAATTGTATTTACTCGGGAATACTTTTCTCATCAAGTAGAACGTGTAGTCAAATCGCCGGTCATTTTTCTCGAGTTTCTGCAGCCCCTGAGCGCAATAATTCCCAATAATTGTATGCGGCAAAGGGGTCGTAACTGAGACAAGACGACCGTTTGGAGGTTTGTCGTTGACCTGTCTATTTATCGCGTTTCAAGAGGCTGTCATGCGGGAAATTTCGAAACGAGGAGCGATCCCAGAAAGGACTCACCAAACGCCCACAAAGATGGTAGCTGGTTACTCATGAGGGCTCATCACTTTTCGAAATCTGACGAATTGAGAGCACCAAAACAGATATGAGCTAATGTATATTAGAACATAAAGCAAGGTGCAGATTTGGAAAAACGTTCTAAATAAGGAAATTGCAGACTTCCGTAAAGTCATTACCATATTTATGGCGCGCCCTGTAGGGCAGTTCTTTTAAAGCCTCCCGGTATCGTACTACCGCAAATCTCTATTCACTGTTTATCAACTTACTTATTTATCCTTTCCCAAACACTTGTCACGTAAATCAGAAGTCGTTAAAAACACTATACCAATCAGGTCTTCAAAAACGATTCGAAAACAACAACTTGTGAAGAACTCATATGAAAAAATACGGCAGGCCGGTAGTCTTGATAAGGCTTTAGAATGGCCAGGAAGCTAAACTCGAAATAAACGAGTAAAATAGGTTAGTCAAGGTAAGTTTAACATGAGTCAAAAATAAAAGCTAACAACGGCAGTGACGACGAACTCATTATATACGAAAGAGAACTCATGAAAATCTTACCATATCAGTATAGCTTTCAAATATTGGCCACATCTTCAAGGCGTAATCTAGAAGGGAGTTCTGCCTGAAACGATTTGTTAAGATTGCGTCAAACACTACACCATTAAACTCAACACTTGCAAATTTTTCTTACAACAGGCTAGCTCCAGGTGCTGATCGTATGGTACGAGTTTGATCATTCCTCGAAAGTAAGCAAAACGATCCAACTGACGTTAGCGCTAAGCATGGTACAACAATAGTCGAACCTTAAAATCATATCTACAGCAACGAACAACCAAGTATCTATAGCCATCAGTTATGTATACTTAATATATGGCTATCCTATAAGCAGAAACTGGGGTCTTCACAAATAAAAAGAATTTAGAACTGACGCCTCTTCCCACGCATGTGAAAAAGTATCTTCAACTGGTATTCAACATCTGCTGCCCCTAACGTAACACAATCAAACTGTTTGAATAAATTTCCACGACAGACCTCGACGGTAAAAAGAAAAAGAAACTCACTTCGTTGACTCCTAAGATTAGGATATAACTTTGTATAATATCCGTATTGTGCCCACAATACCAAATCTTGGAAAATGTAATAGACACCAATAATCTTTTGAATGGGTGTTTGATTAGTAAGAACCGCACCCAACATATTGCACGTGTCTCCGACAAGCCTAGACGTGAACCAAATGACGGTTGAAAACGGCAAAAATGATGGTTTAGGAAACATACCAAAAAAATAAGAATACTAAGGAGAGACCATCACATTTCTTCGTTTTAAAGTTTTGAAGAAGTTGTGGAAACAAAGGAACCAGCCAGAGTAGCAGAGATATTATTCCAATTATAAAACCGAGTAGCTTCAACTCCGTATCCACACAATCGGAGAATATCTAAACCCGCAGACTGATGAAGGCTTTGAAGAAAATTTTCGAATGAATACAAAGAATACAAGATTTGATCAAAGTTTACCCGCTCGATCCATTGGATTCCATTGGAGCAATTGTATTCCTGAGCGGTATCAAATCGATGGACAGTGACTCCCCCACCACTCATGACGATCTGAATTATTCAGGGCTATCAGGAAGAAATTTCCACAAATCAGCACGTAGAATCAATCAAGAAGAGCAGTTGTGAGAAAGTTGAGGCTGCATCCTGCTGAAAACTAACGATAAGCATCCTCGCAAGAAAGCAACATAGATAACAAATTCGCTGAACGTCATTACGTCGCCATCCAAAAAAAATCTTTAGGCAGACTGTTTTGGTAGGTTGCATACCCGCTTTTCTGTTTCGCATTTTTAAAGAAAGTACCTACAGTAGTGGTCAATCTTGAATCAGGTGAAATAGAGTTGCTGTGGAACCGGAAAGTTGAAGGAATAAACGATGATTAGGTTGCGCTTCGTTTCGCGCGTCCGTCGAAATTAGATCCGCACAGAAAAGAAAATTCAGTACGGCACTCGGCTCTTACAGTAATCCGGCACGTGTTAATACGCAATTTTTCACCCGTCACATGTACGACGCGTGGAAAAGGGTCCCTGGGCGAGGACGCGGGGTGCGTTGTGGACAAGATAGGCCGGTCCGCTTAATGAAGAGATAACACGGACTGAAGCAAATCAATCGCTCCCCTGACATTTAGTGGTACTATGTCATTTCGAGATCGCAGTGGCTGCTTTCAGACTTCAACGATTCGACCGAAGTGCATCCGTCCGTCCGTTGCGTGCGTGTGAGCGACGGCTGCGCTAGACAGGTGTTGACAGCATTGGACGCCGATGGATCACGTGCCAGTGTTGTCATCAAGGGCTAGTGCCGCCGTCACTCGCACGCACGGACAGACGGATGGACGGCAGTACGTCTGTCGAACCGTTAAATCTGAAAGCAGCCTGTGCCGCGTGCGAAGTAGGCGAGCTGACCTAAAAACGGACGTTCCCCTTGATCATTAGGTAACCAGGAGGACGGGTCACCTTGTGCGTCCGAGCGTGCGCGGTGAAGTTCGTGGCGATTTGCACTGTTCTGACGCCAATTTTCGGGACACAAACTTGGAGTAGTTTAGCGGGGTCAGGTGATCCTTCCGATCTACCCTACTCCAAATTTGACCCCAATGATAGGCGCTGAAGTTGTTCAAATCGTTACGAACTTCGCCGCGCGCAGCCTCGGACGCACGAGGTGACACATACCCAGGTAATCACCCTAATGTATTTTAATAGGAGCACACATAACAATATTAGTATGACAAGAAATCAACGCGGTGGTACGTGTTATTCCGCATTGAACCAACACCCAACACACAACCTCTTGTGCGGATTTATTTATTTATTCAAAATACACACAAAGGTGCGCTCCAGTAGCAAGCAAGAAAACGAAACCAGCTACAAACTTAAACAACAGAAAAAATCAAAGGAGCGCACAGTAAGAAAAACCATTCCCATAAGTGGATACTCTTAAGGCTATAAACGTCTAAAAATCTTGTATGCCTAACAAAGCGTTAACGTCTAAATTCCTCAATTTCTTTCTGAACGCATCGGTATTTCGCCCCTTTTGCAGTTCTATTGGTAACAGTTGAAGCATCTCGCTCCACGGAAGAAAAGCAAATGAAAAATACTGGCCCTATGACTTCTGTTCAGTTTAGGACATGGCAGAGATAATGAAGTGGTACGACCTCTGCACAGTCTGATTACCCAGTGCTTACTCGGCCGTAGCTTGAGTTTGCCTTTCAGCATTTTAAAATAGAATACTATATCACTGAATACTCTGCTGTACAATAATGTTTTAAGATTGAAACGGTGCAGGCGATCATCATAGGTCGGTAAAGATCATGGGTATATTGGGTCAGGAACAAATTTATACATTAAAAATTCATTCTCGTGAAATTTTGTTGAACTTTCTCAATTTTTGCTCGAAGGCTCTTGGAATGAGTGTTCCATATCTGTGAACCGTATTCGAGTATGGAACAACATATGCCTTAGCCTTATCAAAGTCGAAGCATCGTTGTACCGAACATTTCTAAAAATGACAAAAAGTGCTGCGAGGGCTTTCCGAACAACTACATCGAAGTGGTGCGAATAGTCCAAGTTGGAATTGAGAAGAAACCCAAGGTCCCGAACTTCATATGAAGGGTTGTTGACTATGTATGGTTCGATTATGGCTTTACCTAATGAAGAGCAGATGTTTTCGTAAAGTTTACAGGCATTCCCCAAGCAGTAGCCCAACCCATCATGTTGCGAATAGATTGGGTCAAAGCTTGATGTATCTGACTATGATTATGATTGATGTAAACGCCACATATTTTAACAGTCATGCCGCCCGGGCTTCCTTCTTATGATGTCGCCCTTCTTCGCCGGGCACTCCTCCTTTTTGTGAGAAAATTGCTGTGCGTAAATAACACTTCGGATTCTCATTTTTCTTTGAAAGCTCTACACTCCCCGTATTAGCTCCGAATAGAAGCGATTTTTTTTTGTATTTGATTATATACTAATTAGAAGTCTCGATTCATTGCTCTTCATCTCGAATT